GGCCTGAGGACATTGGCGGCAACTGCCATTATTTCATTACTTTACCGTTGCATGAAGGTGGTAATTGCTACCACAAGCTGAATCCATTGATAAATTGATTGGTGTTGTGTTAATATAGTGCCATTGTCATTTCATCAAGATCCTGAACAGCCTTTGGACTTGATGGCTGATCAGCCAATTTCATTCGTGTTTCAATTTGTTGGAGGGGGCAAGGGTGGCCCAGTCATCTTAGGTGCTGCAATTTGCTATGCAGAGGTGTTTCACTTTGGCACACCAGAAATCTATGACTGGGTTCGAATCCCAGTTCGCCCTGATTTTGTTTCTAGGTTTGTCAGCGACATACCCATGCTCGTGGGTTTCACCAAAGTGGTAAACATCTGAGACCTGTATCACTTTGGACTTTCCTCCCACATTAATTAAGCTGACACGCCATGATAAAACTGGAATACTGTTAAAAATGGCATCAAACCCAACTCACTCACTCATTCACTCAATTTGTTGAAATAATTATTATATAAATCCAAATCTAGAGTGGGTGAGATTTACAGGTTACATATGGATTCATAGGGTGGGTGAGTGAGTGAGATGGGTTTGATGCCGCTCTGAAGAGTCAGGTGTCACATCACAGCAAGCAACCATAGTAGTCTTGGATCAGACAAACCAGCTGTTGATAATCAAAACAAGGGCAAGCTGACAGGTTACCATGATAAAGTTGTGACAATGCCGATACCTGCCTCAAACTCACTCACTCACTCACTCACTCCACTAACAACCTTCCGTGATCTGGGTTACGGAATTGGGGGGAGGGGGGGGGGGAGTTGTCAGTCAGGAGCTGGGAAGGTCAAATCAGGGTAGTGTTTACTCTGCTCTCAAGCACCTACATCTGTGTGATGTCTTTATGAATAATAGAATCAGTTTCAGAAAAAGGTACATGTCATAAACAAGTCAAATTTTCATTCTTCTATGTGCAAAAAAGCAATGACAAGTCAATCAAATGGATTTGCAGATGTTTTGGGGCGGATTGGGAAAAAAGCTTCACTTGTTGAAGAAATGATTAATCAAATACTTGTGACAAGTTGTCAATCATTGAACAACTTATTTCAAAAAGCCATGAACTTTGTTTATAATAAGCATTTATAACCGAAAACATAATCCTTAAAGCAGTGATGCAACTTCACCATCAAACATTCTTCTACACTGATTGAGGGGTACAAGGATGGAAAAACATGGTCCTATACAGTAAACAATACTGCTTTTTATCATTCATTTTCAGTGATCCATTCATATTTTCATCACTATTTTCCCCTTTATGCCAATGGAATCTGCTTCAACAGATAATCAAGAGTGACTATTCTCTGGCATTGACATATTCAATTTACTATTGGCTGGCTGCATTTCAGGCAAGCACAGCACCCACAAGCAAAGATTTCAAACATTGTGTTTGTTTGTTTGTTGTTTAACGCCTCACTCAGCAACATTCCAGCTACATGATGGCGGTCTGTAAATAATCGAGTCCGGACCAGACAATCCAGTGATTGACATAAAGAGCATCGATCCACACAATTGAGATACGATGACATGCATCAACCAGAAACAAACGAAAATTTTACAAAAGTGTTGAAACCCAGCTTACTCTAACATCAGACATCAGTGAGCCACCTCACCATGTGACAATGTCACAACTGGAACGCTGGTCATGAATCAAAACTGATTTTTTTATTTTCTCTTGAAATAGACATAAACTATACAAGCAAGGACACCAGTGCCCATGAAACTCATAAAAAGACAGGATATGTGAGAATTTTTGGCACCTTTGTCATAAACATAATCTGTCAGAAGATAAATGTTCTCTGATTTCATAACTAAATACATGACATTAGGAACCCAGTTCTAGTAATATACTACTTGCCACACCACTACCGATGACACCAAATATTCATGTACATGCCTGATAGGACTTGTACCGCCCATCAAATACAGCTGTCTCCCAGCAGTAGGTATGCTGGGTCAAGGAAAACTAGCGTCAGTCCAAGATTCCCCAGATAAGGGAACTCTTTCTTAATTTTTCAGTTTACAGATTCAACCAAACAGAAAAGTATCATTAGAAAAAAAAAAAAAAAAATTTTTTTTTTATTTGTTCGATCTTTGGATTAGAAACTCACAAAACTTGTTATATTTCTGATCAATTTCATGGTCTATCATCACTGGCCACAGTGAACACCATAAGCCAACTAAAACAAGAAGTCATGTCAGATTTATTTTTACTACTTCCTTACTCCCTAGTCCTTAGAATGATAACATATAGCAAAATCCTTAAAAATGGCAAATTTCTACTATGCCTTACATTAAACTATTGGGCAGTTTGGCAGGGACTGTAGGACTAGTGCCAATTTCTATCACTGCAAATGTATTAATACATTGACTTTTACCAAGTATATTGGTCAGCAAAAAGTCTGTTAGCCATAAAGTTTGACCTGGGTCTGGTTCCACAAAGCGATCTTAGAGCTCAGGTGATCATAACTCCCATACTTTAACATAGACTTAAGATCGTGGAAGTGCCAAGATAGCATTGTGGAACAGGGACATGTGCCATCAAATATAGCTGTATGTCTTCACCATACTGGGTGCAGGAAAAGGAGAGTCAGTTAAGAATTCCTCACATAAGTATGGAAATATGTACTCAGATAAAACGACGTGAAAGCAATAGGATGTTGTTGCCTCAAGGCAGGGACCTTTCACCTGCTTTCACAAGCTGACCACTTAGGCACGTGTACAACAATTGACACAAGTCAAAAGTAGCCCTGATAACAAACTTCAGTCGTACAATTCATTGTATGGATCAAAGAATCACGACACAAGGATCATAACAAGCTTCCATGAAGTATGTTACAGGACATTTTGTTTTTATGAACAGTTCAAAAGCAGACCTCCCTGGTCTGAGATTTTAACATGTGTGTGAGACTTTGTGTGGTTGTACACTGTTGGTATCCAGATTCTTTTCTTAACAAAGGGCAAACAAAATATGCATTTCATGTTTAAAGAATATTGACAGGGGATTATTTTCTTTTCTTTGAAAAGGTTTACAGTTATTATTTTTTTCTACCATGTCAAATACTTTCTCTTGTGGTGTAGATACTAAATATAGCAAAAGCTGATTTTTAAAAATACTTTTTAATCACATGGATGATATTTCAAACCCCTGGTTAATAATTTTTTACGTGAAACTTTATTAAATCTCAAAGATCTGAGCCAGAGAATAACCACCCTCGTTTGTCTACTGAAACATATTCAATTGGGTGCAAAAGGCAAAATAACTGTGAACATTTTATGAATGGACCACTAAAAAATCGGTGATGACACCAGGTGTTCAAAAGGGGGGAAGCATGTCCTGCTCTACCAGTAGCACACGCCACTCACACTCTTATTATAAAAACTTAAGTTTTTTTTGAGAGTATGAATAAAATAAAACAACTAGCCTCATGATCAACAAGCAATATCAAAATAATTTCCTGAAGCATTAGGTTTTGTTTGTTTGTTTGTTTGTTTGTTTGTTGTTTAATGCCACACTCAGCAATATTCCAGCTATATGACGGCGGTCTGTAAAATAATCGAGTCTGGGCCATACAATCCAGTAATTGACATCATGAGCATCGATCCACGCAATTGGAATTGATGACATGTATCAACCAAGTCAGCGAGCCTGACCACCCGATCCCGTTAGTCGCCTTTAACAACAAGCATAGTCGCCTTTAGGTAATCGTGTCTGAATCTGTGTTTGTAAATAATCTACCATCAAGTGTAACCTGTTTCTGCTGGAGTTTTCCTTCTACATGGTAACACATTCTTTCAGAAAAATCCAGCCCCACCACCCCACCAGCCCCCACCCCTCAATTGCCTAGCCTCACCTAGAATTAACATAAATGTTTCAAGTAATACAGTGCTATTAACAGGTTTGGAACTGCTTTTACAACAAAAAGATATTTTCAAAAGATATTCTTACGGAGATAATAGAATCGTCTTTCAACAGTTTATTATGTTTTAGACTCATTTGTGTTCATGGTTTGGGTTGTATGACTAGTTAAAGTAATTATTGCGATCAAAATATCGCAAAATCCAGAAAATCTGCAGTGTCGAAACATTTCCTCTCATCAAAGTAAGATACAAAACAAACACTTTCCGCACATAGCCAAAATCCATTTGGGATGTCTAAAGTTTTATGCAAGGAGCTAGTATGTCTTTATAAGGAGGCTTGACGTCAGTGCAATGGAAGAAAGGATTGGTCTATGTATATATCGGAAGCTGATTTGCCTTCAAAGCAGCAGTTCAAACATATCCGAAATTCAATAGTGATTCCGATACACCCTCGGTGGCTCATTACAGCACATGCTTTTATTTAATCAAAATCTGCCGAGTTCTTATATTGGAAGGTCACATCAAGGTCAGCTTATGGAAGGAAATCAATGGATTGCTTCATCTTGTAACAATGTTCTTAAGACAGCCCGTTCTGGTCAGGATGGCTTCACAGATCAAAATACAGACAGCACTATGTGTATGTGTCTTTTCACTATAGGTCTAGCTGGTTGGTTTGTTTTGACAACGTTAGCCAATCAACCCATGGCCATTACACACTGCATTATTTCACATTTCCTACGAGGAATGTTTTCAAAAATATATTTTCCTCAATATTTCTTTACAGTTTGGGGAATATGGTCTGTCTGGTGATCTAAGGTGTCAAAACTTACTATGAAGAGTTGTGCCCCCTTAAATGCAAGGATCTGCTGCTCATGGGTTTGAATCCACAATAGCAAGTGTAAAACATCAAAGACCTATGTCACTTTGGCCATGCATCTTGATATGGTGAAAATCTTTAGCAAGGGAGTGACCGACCATTTAATAACTTAATATTCTGGTGAACCGTACTTTGAAGAACCCGTTTCAAAAAGAATCCCAGCCAATGGTCAGATGATCTCAAATCTTGTTGGAAGTAAAGTGTGACTTACTGTTGACATAATGTGACAAGGTCCTTGTCTGTGGTGTTGGGGTTAAGGCCACGAATGTAGAGGTTTGTTCGACTGAGGTTCTCTCCAGACAGAGACTGGTTGCTGGACTGGCTACTTGTTGTGTTGGGGCTGGCGGCAGGCATATTGCGAGGTGGATAACTCTGCAAAAAAGGAAGAATACATGAATACAAAATAACAATACATTATTTCAGAATTCAGTTACCATAGAGAACGGAAATAACATATAAAATATATTAAATTGCATGACAAATTTCTGATTTGTCAATTCGAATTTTGCATTCATGAGCATTCTTGAACATTCATGGGTATTCATATGCATCCATTAGCATGCATCAATGTCAAGGCTCAGTTGGTTTACTGTTCTATAAAGTTCCACATGACAATAGTCCACCCTGTATCCAAGATCATGTCCACAAATACTTCCTACTACCATACACCAAAGAAGTTGGGAGAAGCCTAGTGCTAAGACCACTTTGTGCAACCTCGCCCTTGTCCCAATTATCAGGAATACATAGAAACGGTGAGCCAGATAGGAAGCGCTTGCTCTGCCATGGAGATTACGCCTATCTCAGGATGCAATGTGTTGGATATTGGTCTTAAGGAAAGTAGTAGGAACAGTCCACACCCATGATATAATACCACTAATGACAGAAGGGCTAGATATGATACCAGAAATGTTAGGCATACTCCCAATGCTTTTTCTATGAATACGACTGATAATGCAAAGTTTTCATCAGTTTTATCATAATGGCCTTCATCTAAAGTCAGTGGGAGTTAAACTACCATTACAGCAGGACACAGTGACTCATATACGTGGGGTATGTGGCAATAAGAATTGGAATTCTTCTGTTTTGAATGACATTTTTCAGATACACATCCCTATATTCTGAAGCCCTTGGAAAACCTCTTGCATACTTTTATGTGAGAAGAAAGTTAGTCCATCTTGATGTCTGATAGAACACAGGATGCACGTCTCATGCTTTCCCGATGTTATGTACAATACGGTCTTAGAACAAAACATCTGATGTTTCTTCAAGTTGAAACATTGTCGAAGCATGCTCATGAGATTTGAGAATGATAATGCCACATATATAACATTCCCCTACAACCAACCATACACACATCTCTTGTATCTCGGACCAGGAAAACAAACTCTTTGTATGAAGGATAGCCAATGTCATATTTCTTATCCACAATGATTTTATTAAGAGCTGCTTGAACAATACAGGTAACTCTGTATAATAAAACTTGGTGAAACATCCTCGTAAACTGAACTTGTGATAGTGACTATGTTTCACGAAACTATCTTCCACACAACCAGCCACCTTGTTGCTTGGCATTTGTCAGATAGGTCTACACCAGCAAAACATGTCCATTCAAATGATTTCTACAAAGTGGGTTGATGTATTGAGAAACACCGTCCCCACTCTACAGGTCCTTTGTCCTTCCCAGCTACAACAGCGATAGCCCAAGAGATGCTTAAGACAAATTGATTACAGTGTAAATTTACCAATCATGACGTCCTGTCTCAGCACTAATCAGCCTGTAGTTCAGCGATTTATTCCTGGCTAAAAAACTTGCTCACTCATATATGGGGCCCGTGAAGATCCGGGGTAGAATAGGTCTTCAGCAACCCATGCTTGCCTTAAAAGGCGACTATGCTTGTCGTAAAAGGCGACTAACGGGATCGGGTGGTCAGGCTCGGTGACTTGGTTGATGCATGTCATCGATCCCAATTGTGTAGATCAATGCTCATGATATTAATCACTGGATTGTCTGGTCCAGACTCGATTATTTACAGACCACTGTCAGATAGCTGGAATATTGCTGAGTGCAGCGTAAAACAACAACCCAACCAACCAACCAACCACTCATATATGGTGCTTCCATGTGACTATGGCAGTTTTTCTTGTTGTGCAAAAGGTCTTGATTGCACTTATAAGATGGCTACACTGACGGCACGCTATCTATGCCTGACAAAAGAATCTATTACATAACACCCTTTAACATATGTTACCAACATAAACCTCCGTTATGCTAAACAGCCTTAATGAAAATTATAACGACATGGCCATTTCAATATATATTGTGACACGTGGCACACCATATGAAAGAGTTTAAGCTGATTGTTTTTGCAAAGGTTGTGGGCAGTAAGATGTTATTTAAAAATATTTTATTCTTTTTGTATGATATACCAATCAAAAATAATTGGAAACTACAAAATATGTGAATGTCAAATGCCGTAGATTATGTTAGAGCATGATGGTCTAGTATAAAATATTCTGTTCAGATGGTGAGACACGATGATCTAATCCAAATTATACTGCTCCAGAAGCCATGAATATTCAGTGTCTAGGCTTTAGATAGGTTGCAGTTAGGAATACTGAGTCATCATCCAGTTCCATACCAGAATGCTGCAGATTCAATAAAATTTATCAAATCCCAGCATCATCTTGCCGTGAAAAGATGAAACTGTCTGACAAAATAAATTAATCTCTTGAGCCCAACTGGGCACAATTTGACTCAACTGACCTGTGATTTTTTTTGCTCAAAAGGCATGCGACTATTTTGGTCCATAATCAGAATCTATGGTCAAAGTTTGTAATTTCCATCCCTGATGTTGGGTATGACTAACACAGTCACATTTATGACTAGAGTGAGACGTTTTTATGAAATATTTCACTTTGACTCATGATCAATAGCTAAATGGATGAGTGCAGTCTGAAAACAGCCACTAAACAGAAATATCTATCAATGCAAGGCATCAGATACTGAAATTTTTACAACAGATCGCTGGACAGCATGGGGCAAAACTCTACCATTGTTGCTTCCTAACTGATCTACTTCAGGATCAATACAGCCGCAATCGACTCAACATCAGTGGAGTGTGGAGCCATTCCATGGAGCTGGAGCAAGCTGCTGGAGCTATTTCACATAGCTAATTGTGTAGTATGGTAGACATATTGTAGACACATAGATGGTCTGATACAGCCCGTATTGTCCGGGAATATAGCCGGCCTATAGATGCTGCTGCAGGTTTGATCAGGCTATAGATAATACCCAGGTACCATTAACACTTTTTCACCCAAGTGACCACTGACAAAAGTATTCAGAGAAGTCTTTGAAAAATATTCAAATGATGACCACTAAAGAATAAAGAGATCATTTTTTTATGATATTATAATATGTAAATACACTGGTGCCACCAAGGCAGTCGATTAACCCTTATTGACACAGGCAATATTGAATTGTATACTGTAGGATGTCATTCTTAGCAGTAGTCAAAGTCAGAGGTAAACAGGTTAAGCCTAAAGGGTCTCCTTGAGGTGTCAAGATGCGCTTGTCCAGGTTTTCACAAAGCAGATCAACAAGCAGGAATGCTACACTAGGATGGAAAGGAGAAGGCAGAAGGAGTACAAAGAAGCGTAAATACGTTTTCTAGGAAAATATTATATCCAGTGTACCTGAAAGTGTACCTGAAATGTATGACCAACCACGTGAACGACAAAACTGATCTTGACCATTTCAAAGCAAACAATATAATTTCATTAGTGGACAGGTCCTTTCAACACTTACATAGTCATATATCTTCTGATTACTAGTTACATAAACAAAATATAGCATAAATTTGTAGGGAATTTTATAACAGGTCCTTTCAACATTTACACAGTCATATATCTTCTCATTAGTAGTTACATAAAAAGAATATAGCATAGATTTGTAGGGAATTTTTATAACAGAAATTTAGAGCGTTTTTAAAACATCATATTTTGTTTGTTTTATTCAATACGTATAGGCCTCATTGTGTGGATGGTTCTTGGGTGTGTGAGTTATTTCGAGTTATTCAAAACAGAACACTTACTTCACACATACATATTAACTTTTTTTTCCAACTTGACATGTGACTTGTAAGAATCAAAGTGTCCCCGTAGCCATTTACTACAAAGGTGACTGAGATTGAATTTTCTTCAAGGTATATTTACAAATCAATATTTTAAAGTGAGGTTTCAATATCAGGGATTGTCAAGACTTTGACCACACACGAGGTAAATAGAATATACACACTAAATGTTCCTGTGGGCCACATTCTTAATCTAAGAAGAACGTGATCACTCACAATTATTGACTCTGATTTCTTCAAAAAAAATTCTTCATATATCCATCAGCTCTGACAATCGTGTTCAGTGCTCTTATCAGGGCAACAAGGGCACTGCTCACCCAATACTCTCCGGGTATTTGAGGCTATTTCAAGTATGAACAAACCCTCTGGGCTCAGTGAAGATACAAGAGATAGGACATATCGCCAGCATTTTTTACAGCCATGACAAGGGATTTGTTTCAATTAAATATGCAATAGACGCCTCATAGAACTGGGGCAAAACTGGCCCACATTTTTATCAGCTGATTTATATATTGACTTTAGGATAAATCACAGCATCAAATAAATTCAGTTGTTTTATGGCTGAAGAGAGCGTGTTCCTTATGACCGGCTTGACAACATTTCAAAGCATAAACCTTCAGCAAATGAACGTCTTGACTCCAACACAAGGGTCTTGGACTTAGAGAGCCCAGCATAGGTTTTGTTTCGGCAAACAGGACAGGGTATTATGACTAGCATTAAGGAATTTTTTAGGAATTTGGAGAATTTTACAAGTGACAGTGACCATACGATGTGTTGCCAGTTGTAATATAATGTCATAACCTGCATTCTTCTCAGTGTCTCCTTGTTGCTCCATTAAAAACATCAGCCCCACACACATTCAAGCAAACATCGTTTTTTTACCTGGACAAACAATATCTTATTCTTAAGACAAACAGGTCTGTTTAAACTCTATTCTAAGACCGGGATGCCTGGCTTGGCCAACTAGCACTTGCCGAACAAACCACACCGCCATCTTCATGTCTGAGCAAATATTAGAAATATAAACATACACAAATAAGCTAAATATATTTCCTAAATCATAGACGTGAAATATTTTTAGGATGTTAAGGGCAAAAAGAAGGTTGTTATTTCCTCTCTAAGCCTTCTCAAGTCATGGATAAGATACACTTATGGAAAGGGCCATGTTTGCAATCACCAGGATAACAGTGTGTAATGACAATCTGCATCTGTGTTTAATTCCTCCATGTGAAAGTGTCA